AGCGCGGAGCTGCCTGGGGACAACACAGACACCCTCCGAAGGGGCAGCGCGGGGAATAACCTGGTTCGCGTCGGTCTCCTTTCCGTGATATTGGAGCCTGGTCTTGGAGGGAAGCGTAATTAAATAAAGTAGGCCAAAAGGCATCGCGGCTGCCTGAGGACGAGAGGCCTGGAATAACTAATCTTTCTCTTCGCGTAAGGGTATTTTTCCCTTATGCAAAGTAGGGTTGCGCTTCAGGTAGATGAAACCCACTGTTCTGTCCAGTGTTTGTTGCTGTTCTGCACAGGAATGGAGCTGGAGAAGACTGCTGAAGCAGTTGTCAAGTTGTAAGGAACAAAGCAAAGAGAAGACAACAAGGAATTTTGAAATATGAGTATTGAAATCTAACAAAGGTGCCAGGAAACCTTCCTGGGATTCCTTTTACTGAGTGTTTTTGTTTCTGTCCCCAGTCCAGAAATTGGATGCTATTGATGAATTTTGGCAGTGACACTAAGTTGGCAGTCCTTGCTAAAGCAGATAAGGAATAAGCTGTGATACAGGAAGAATTTGATTATGTTCAGTGTGCCACTACTAGAAATGTCGTGAAATTAACCAGTGTTGAAGAGCAGTCCAGTTTTTGCTTATAAAGTTGGTAATAAGAATTTTATCTGCTGCGAGCAAATTAGCAGGAGAGGAGACCTTGATGTCCCAGTTAGTCACAGAATGATTGTGTCTTCCTCTCACTGATGTGGCAGGTATGAGTCTCACTTTTATTATGGGAAGCATTTCCAGGAGAGACAGAAAAGTATTGGTTTGTAGCAGGTGCTTGTGTGATCTTAGGAATAGTCTATGCAGTTGAGGTCATTAACACTTGAGAGGGATAATTGTAGACTTGGTCATTAACACTTGAGAGGGATAATTGCAGACTATAAGATGTGCAGGAAAAAGCCATGGCATTTCTCATGTGGTTTTTTCTGTGGCTGTTTATCCTTACCTTCCTTTTCCTCCTCTTGCTTCTCCAGCATGTGTGAATGTGTTCACCCTGCAAAGTGGAGGCTGCAAAAGAAGGAAACCCAGTTAGGGACCCCAGTTATTGTTCATTCTCCCTTGCAAATCTGCAAAAGCTGTATGTGATAGGTGTTGAGGTGAATCCTGAGGGCAGAGAGGTGTCAGGCCATACAATTCATTCTGGTCGTTTCAGTCTTGCATTTGAGTGTTTGTGTACATGGAGGGGTGAGAGGACCATACACAGGACCTCATGCTCTCTGGTCCTGTTAAGTGTAGCTCTCTCTGCACCAGGACGGTCTTCATGCACCTCTCTGCAAAACAAAGAACTGCCTCTTTAGAAAGATTTGATTGTTTCACGGAGTTCTTAATGTAAAGGTTTTGTTGGCACTAGAGGAAAAGAAGTTCTGGAGTGGCCATGGCCATGCTTGGTTCTAAAACAGTAGTGGGAGCAGAACACCAAACTACTTCTGCGCAGACAGCAGTTAGTACCCAACAGAGCCTCTGTGGTATATGCCTTCTATTACAAGAAATGAGACAGGACCCAGAGGTCCCTTCCAGCCCCAAGGATCACCATAAACAACACTGAATCCTTGGGATTCTGAATGTTGAGCTTGGAAAGGAATGTACAGTTATGTAAGAGAAACTCTTACGATTATGTGGCGCTTTGTCCTCACCGTTGTTCTCTCAACATTTCCAAAAGGGATCCTTTTGCCATCCACCGGCAGCACATGAACCGCATGCTTTCAGGAAGTTTTGGGTTTGGCCCTCTGCTTGGCATCACTGATGGGACCACACCTGGGGCTCGCCAGGCTGGCCGTAGGATGCAGGTAAAAGGGGCCGAGGACAGGATAGAATCCCTTAAACTGCCTCGTTAGCTTCTGTCTCCCATCATTACTGGGCTGGGCACCCCCTCACCTTCACATGGGTGGTGGGTGCAGAATTAGTCTCTAAACCAGTGGTGGTCTGACGCTTTTCTTTACTCCAAACATATTAATATAATACACCGAATGCAACTACTTTCTGGGTTGGATGGGAGGACAAGAATAAATATATGTTTTTTCTCAAGGACATAAATTAATGTAACCAGGAGAAATTTAGGAGCATCACCACGTGTCTGGGTTGTTAGGGGTGATATGGTTTGAACCACTCTAAGTTGGGGGGTGCTCTTTATCCATTTGTAGGGCTTGAGTGTTCCCAGTTCTGTTTCTGAGAAGGATGGGGATGTTCCGATGAGGATCTAGTGTTTGGCTATTGCAAAGTCATTCTCTGTTGTGTTTTTCTGTTGTCCTGGCAGGCAGGAGCTGTTTCACCCTTTGGGATGCTCGGCATGGTAAGTTTTCTGTTTCTCTGGGTCAAATTAGAGCCTTCCCAAGTAGTGGCTCCATACTGAGTGCTGTGTGAACTCATGAGCGCTGTGTGCAACTAGAGCTAAAATGTAGCTATCTGTGAGCAGGGCCAGCTATCCTAATGGAGAGTGAGGGTGGGAAGGTCTGAGGCGACTAGATAAGCTCTAGATACATAGTAAAGGGATTTATAGTAAAGGGAATACAGAAGAGGGTGTTAGACTGAAAGCAGTTGGTTTCTCCTGAAGCTCTCATTGAGTTGCTTTATGACTTCAGACCTGTAACTTTTTCCACTCTAATGGTTTAATCTTGTGTGTGAGCAGTTATAGAGGAGAGATTCGAACTGTGTGGGGAAGTTGTATTTGCACCTTGACCAGAGAAAAGCCATAATGCTGTTACAACACCATATTTCATGGGAATTGGGACAGTTAATATATGGGAAGAGCAGGTAGTTCCTTTATAACCTCATATGTCTGAAAAGAAGCTGTGGATCTGTTTGGAGGTAATGGAGGAGCTGTGAGGACGTGAGTATAGGACTTGGCCATCACTAGGCAGAGGTGATTATTGCACCTCCTTTGCCAGTGGTGGAGGATGGAGAAGCCAAGGGAATACTTCAGGTGAACGGGAGTGGAATGAGAATGGCTGTGTGTACGTGAGAACACTATGCTTGGAGTGTGCTGATCTCCGTCGTCTAGTAAAATAACACAGTGGAAATAGGTTGTTCCTGATCCAGCAACTTTAGCTGCCTTGCTCTGCAGAATTGCCTCAATGAAAGAGACTTTAGCATCCTGGAATTTTTGTAGCTCAGAGAGTGATTAACAAGAATCCAGACTTCAAAGCATAGCAACATTGTGTGTGAGCACTGCGCTGCTAGAAGTGGGAACAAGAGGCTACTCGAGGAAACAAAAAATAAATAAATCAGCAAGTTTAAACTGACATCGTAATATTGTTTACATATTGCACAATTAACCTGTGAGACCTGCTGGCCCAGTGCATTACTGCAGCCTTCA